ATATATATTAATTCCATTTTTTCAGTTGTCCTATTTGCGCTTGCATTCTGTACTGTACACCTTGCGTCCGTAAAACCATACACTATTGTCCTTTATGTGAAAAATTCTTAGGTACCGGCAATACTCGAAATTTGGATCATTGAAAATTGTTAGGATCTTATACCGTCGTAATTCAGGAAAAGTGTTTGGATTAAAATCAAGTAAATAATTGAAACGACAAAGCAAAACGGTATTAAGTTAACTAATAAGTTGATTATTTAATACGAATTTTTCAGTAGTTTTAAATATATTATATAGTACAGAACTTTTAAATAAAAATCATAAGTCTTATGGAAATGGAATTTATCTTAAAATATGAATTTAAAATATGAAATTTTTTATTTTAAAATTAAGTCCAAATTTAAGATAATTATGATTAGCCCAAATCCATTCCAATAAATAGTTCATTTTATATGAGCATATAGTAGATATTGAGAAATAAATTGCAATATTCATTTTTATAACCACTTTTGGAACCAAAACAAATCAGTCTATTTCTTAAAATATTAAAATTAAAAGTTTCCAAGTACTTCTGCAGAAAAATATCTATAACGATCCTAAGAGCTCTATGGCACCATTCAAATATTAATCATATATCCATACTCCGTTTTAAGGAACTTAAGGATTCCACAAATGCTTTTCAATTTTATAAATTATGTGCTATCTAAGGTTCGTTAAATGATTTCCTGATTTCAGTTAAGACTGTCCTCCTCCATATTATTGAAGGTTTTCCACGTCATTAAAGATCTCACTCTTAAAACTTGCTGGTATATTCATTCCAACCATACTTCCATTTTTATTCTACTGGTTGTTAACTCCTAAAAGTTTTTCAGTGGAAATTTTTCTAACTTACCATTTTTGGAGAATATATTACAAACATATGTGAAACAAGCCATGTTTCATTACTATAAAGAAATAGCAATTTTACACAAATATTAAATATTGTTTATTTAATTTGTTTGTTGTGCTTTTAATCCATATTTTTATATATTTCAAAAATTGGCTTCTGTCTGTTGCGTACGACTTGTTGTGTCCTGTTTTACTAAATCGTCGAGTGAAAAGATACTTCTTAAGTAAAGTAAAATTTACGTTGAAACAACGTATAAGCCAATTCTGTAAAAATCCACATTGCTGCTATTTTTCAATTTCTAAATTAATTACTTGGAAAAATGTTTTTTTAATTATTTTTGATAGGTTTAGATTAAATTATACCGGCGATCTCTCCCAAGGGATCTACTTAGGGCTATAGGCATATTGTGTTACCACTTAAAACCTTTTGCAAAGCTTATAACACTAATTAGAGTCTTATAAGTATTAGTTTTGATGGATTGTTAATATAATATATATGCTATACATTATCCAGATGTTATCACTTTCGATAGTTTACAACATTCAAATCAAAATTCAGAACCCTAAGTATTAAATTTTAAACACAGTATACCTGAATAAGCATGTTATCTAAACACCGCTTTCTTTAAGAAACTGGAACTAATTTTTTAAAAATTTAGATATTGAGAATCAAGTGTGTCTCGATTATGCCATTTTTTTATGTAATGTCTAGGGTAGGTTAAAATTTTCTATAGATAGAAGACATATCGCCGACACAGTGAAGAAAATTATTTGCTAATTTATAAATTAAAATTAGGAATAAATTATATATATATTCGTATACAAATAAAATTTTAATTTATTTTATTTTAACTTTTTAAAGTGTCAAATCATATTTTTAATAATTTTTAATATTTATTTCAATTATTAAAAAAATTTTTATAAAAATGTCTGTTTGATTGCAAAACTTAGATTTAAATTAAATAGGTAAGCAGATTTAGGCAATTACTAAGACAATTTTTAATAAAATATTTTTAATGAAATTTATTATTAAAAGTGTTAACTTTGGCGTCACCATTTGAGGTCAATGATACAATTCCTTCTAAAATATGAATCATCCTTAACTGTTGTATTGAATAAGCCCAACGTCAGACACCAACAACTAATGACGTACTATTTTATTAAGGTAATTCCATATAACGTTATCAATAGTATACATTTCATAAAATTATAATGCATTATAAAATTGAAATTATATATAAAGTTAATTGCATGTATTGAATTCACACGAGAATTTTGTTTTTATATTTTTAGTTTTTAAAAGTATATATAGAACATGTCTGAAAGACTTGGACGTCATTCAACAATTGCTTATTGCCCCAATTGCGGTCAACATGTTAGAACGTTCACTAGTTATGAAATTTCTCTAAAGACGCATTTGCTGGCCTTACTTTTATGTCTATGTGGGTAAGTAAATTACGATTTACGATTTTATATGAGAGTACAAAAAATTTTTAAGGACGAAGACCATATAGTTAGCTAATGTCTTTATTTCTTTTTTCTTGTTATTGTATTTATATTGTAACGAGGTATTCTAAATAGGTAATATTAATATTTATAAGAATACATATATGGGAAACAGATCTATAATAAAATCATATTATTGATCAGTTACGAATAAAGTATGTAGACTGTTAAATAAAGAACTTATTGATAGTATCTCTCATTGAGGATGCATATTTGAAAACTAACAAGTATTAAATTAGTTTTATTAAAAAAATTATATAAATCTCAGAATGGTTATAGGCTTCTCGGGTAGGTATGTAGAACTGAAGCTAGTTATTGTTTAGTTTGATGAAATGATAAACAATAATCCAGTCAAGGTATATAGAGAGGTTATAAAGAAACCTCACAGCTAATAGAGAGGTAAAGTGCTCAAGAGCACTGACACCACCAGCCTCAACATAATAAAAATTTGGTTTAAAACTGTAGAAATAGAAAAATTGTCATCTATATTTGTCTTTTCATTTTCTTATATTATATTTGAATAAAACTGGATATAAATGGATATAAGGTCGCTTTCTCAGTATATTATGATAGATTTGAAAAAAATTAAATATTATTCGTTTTCCTTACATTGATTAACTATTAATTTATATGCACATGTAAAAATCATCATTAATTGTCAAAGCTTTATATGAATATCTAAGGTTCCATCTAACTGCACGGATCACATTTCCTTTCATATTTAACTTTAGTATGCAATAGTAAGTATAGTAAGCAAGTATTATTAACAAAATTCTTGTATTATTAAGAATTTCATTTGGAACGTACATATTTTGCTTGTTGACTAAGTTTTAAGAGGAATAACTTATGATCACTAATTTTTTTTTATATTATGTCATTTATGAAATATTTCCTATTTTTATAATAGGTGCTGGTTCTGTTCTTGTATACCTTATTGCTCAACATGTGCCCATGATATTGCACACTACTGTACACGATGTGGGATGTATTTGGGTAATTCAAGTTTTTAATCAATAGCTAATGGATTTGTAAGAAATAGCTATATTAATCAGTACACCTAGAAAAATATAAGCGAAATGTATCTATTGAAAGTTATTATGCCATATATATACAAATAAAATTGAATTCATTAAAGCAATAACAAAATCGTTTCATTTTATTTAAACTAGTATTATATATTCAATGTTTGTATATTATTTACTTTATTTTTTATATGTTTACAATAAAAATTTAGAACTTTATCAGTTTTTCGTGTTTTTACTTACATATATCTTTTATTAATATATAAATAATGCAACACATAATGCCTCTACAAACAGAATAGTATTGAAATTTAACAATTAAAAATTAAAAATATAATTAATTAATTCAATTATTCTACAGCTACTTTATGATTTCGTTCTACTATAAACACAGCAAGTGAATTTGTTAATAAAACTTTCACAGCAAATTAACAAAACTCCATAAAAATGTGCAAACATGTAAGTCAAGTACGGCTTTGGTTGTTTTGATTAAGGAGCGCTGACTCTGAGTTGAAATTTAACAGGGTACGAGTTGGATTCCTGGTACTTGCAGTCTCAAAAAATTATTTACGAATAATTAAATACAAGAATTATTTCCACGCCCACTAATGATGGATATTTAGCAATACTCGAAACAGCTGTATGGTCAGCCAAAAATTCATTTAATTAAAATAATATAAAAAATAAAATTTTTGTTGTTGTGTTTCACTACTGTTCGAAAAACCTCTTTAATATACTATATTAATAATATATTATAATTAATTATATTATATTATATTAATTAATATATAATATAATATATTAATATATTAATAATATATATATTAATTAATATATAATATAATATATTATTATACTAGTATACAAATAAATAGATCACTTTTAATGCACAGAAGCTAATCTCATGATTGTAAATTTATTATCAAAGAACATTTTTAAGTACATACCCATTAATATTATTAATTACTTTAATAAATCACTTTAAAGTTATAATTTAATCACTTTTTTGTAGAAAATATAACAAACAAATACGATCTTCAAATTTAATTAAGATTGGATGCTGTGACTTATTAGTTTGTAACTAATAAGCTTTTATTGCCTTCTCTCATAAGTCTGTAACCAATAACAAAAACATATTTACTTTACTATGAAAGCATTGATAGGGAAAGGATAAATGGAAGCATTTATCATGTTAGTAGAAATTTTGAATATTGACGTACCATAAGCATTTATCTCACATGTTATAAGTTATGAAGAACAGTTATTGGCGACAAACCACAAATAGAAAGAAAATAGAAGAAAACTATTTTTGAAGGAAAGATTTTATATGAGCTTCTGTAGTTACTTGGCAATCCTTTGTATGCAACTTGTTCGGTGTTATGATTAAGCTTGTATTGTTTATGTTTTTTAATTATATTTTAATTGCTTATATATTAATACTTGATAACTATTAAATACTTCAATATTTTAATATTGACACAAGATAGATTTTTAAGAATAGTAGTATATGTTATAATTTTAAAAAGCATTTTCCAAACGACTATTTTTTATTAAAAACTTTTTTTAAAAAATTTTAAAGTTTAAAATTTCTTTCCGTAATTTCAGAAATAATTTCATTAAAAAATAGCGTTGCAAAGTTTCATGAATTGACATAATTTGTCAAAGTAAAACATCCAATAAATATGGCACTTATTTCATACGTTTAACAAAAAGGTCTCTCAAACAGTGAGTAATGTTCTTTCAATAAAATTATTCAAATTATTTAAAATTATTTCTCTATTTATAGTTTTTCTAAGCAAAAGTAACGTGAACAGAAGAAGTCGGTTACATTCGTACTTCGCAAAAATATATATTTTTTATATTTTTGAAAAAATTTCATATATATATTCATATTGATACTCTTTGTAATCCAGTACTTTTTCTTCCTTTCTTATTTGAGTTTTTAACATCCCTTGTTTATGTATTGTTACAAAGTGTATAAAGACCACCATATGTATATACTTAATTGAAACTATTCCTTATTATTTAATATGTACATTAAATTCCGCTATTTTTTGATGTTATTAATTCTTGCTCTTCCAGTATTATTTAAGAAAAAAACCATCATAATTCTGTTTTTAATTAAATGTAGGTCATGCCTCAGCAAAGGTATTGTCCAAATTGTAAGAGACCTGTAATGGCAGTCGTTGAATACGAAATTTCTCCAGTGACACATTTGATGGCCATTTGTATATGCCTTCTTGGGTAAGTTCAACAAATTGTGTGACACTATTTTTTTTTGTTAGAAAAATTTGACAATAAAAGATATTTTATGAACTAAAAACTCGTATTTGAACTTATATATTTGACTACTATGTTGTGAATAGACGACTCAGTGCGCTTGAACACTTTTACTCTCTACTAACTGCAAGGTTTCTTTATAACCCCTCGCTTTAACTGGATTATTTAACACTAAATAAACCGTTTGTAAGATAGGAGAGGTATTTGAAAATAAATCTAAACCCAATCATCAGATCTTTTCATTTTCCGATCTAAGAATCATTCTTATGGTAATATAAAAATTTTTTTATTTTTTAGCTATATATTTTAAAATATATAAAATTTTTTAGGTATATAGTTGAAAACATTTAGGTTGCCAAAAAGGGCCGAAAAATTAAATAAATAAAATTTTTTAAACTAGAGTATAAGTGTTAGACTTAGAATTTTGAGCCTGTTAGACAAAAAATGAGCGTGTCAATACTTTGAATTATTGATAGGTTGTCAGTTCTAAACGTGGTACTTTTAGTCCACAAATATTAAACATGGACTAATAAACCAATGAGATATTTCAAAAGACAACTCATGTGGAGTATTTACCAATATTCTAAATAGCTGTATGTTTAGCCAAAAACTCAATTTTATATAAAGAGATTGATATTGCAATTTATTAATTGTTAAAAAAATTTATATTAATAAATTATTTTTTCGCCATAACTAACTTCAAAATAAAATTTAATTCACATGAATTATAAAATCGTTTATAACATATAAATCAAAGTAGTTAAAATTTTTCATACATAATCTTATAAAATATTATAATACGAATACTTATAATAAAACTTATTGATATATTTATATTTTTCCTATGTTTCTTACAGAGGTTGGTGTTGTTGTTGTTTTCCATATTTTTTGGATTTTTGCAAGAGTGCTGAATATTACTGCCCACATTGTGGTACTCGATTAAACTGAAAGAGTCTAGACCTTTAAAAAGTATAGACATTTAAAAACGAAAAGAAATTGGATGGCTTTTACGAAGTAAAACTAAGAAATGTATTTTGAAATTGAAACTTTTTGAAATAAATAACTGTAATAGATTTATTTAATGGTATATATATTTTTGAAAGCATATAGTATACATACAGAGTATAAAAAGCAGAGTATACATACATTAATTATTTAAAATTTAGAGAATATGAATAGCAAAGAATGAAAGAACAAACTCAAAAATTTGGTTAATTTATTGAAATTTGGCTGACCATACAACGCTGTTTCGAGTATTGCCAAGTACTCATCATTAGTGTTCTTAAAAAGTGTTCGAATTTTTTAATTAGTTTATAGTCCGTATATAATATGTTTGGACGACAAGTACCAGGGTAGAACCTTCTGAAAAAATACGACTATTCATTCCTTCAAAACAAATTATCCAAAACTACCAGTTTGCTTAGTTGTCTTCGTTTTTTCTTGCAAATCGGTCTATAACATGTATGCAACGAAATCGAACCATTTATAAGACAAATCATTACAGGCGATAAATAATGGATTAAATACGATAATATCAAATCAAGCGGTCATGTCCAAAAGTCGATGACCGCCCATAAATGACGTTAAAGATTGGATTGACAGCAAACAACATTGTTTGAAGTTTGATTGGAGTGAAAGGGAATTGTCTATTACAAACATCTCCACCCTGGTGCAACGCTTAATATGGTCCTCTGCTGGTAAAAACTCGAGTACTTGAAGGAAACAATCATAGAAACGCGACCAGAAAAACTATTAGCCACCAGCAAAAGAATTATCTTCCATCATAACGTCAGGTTATACACATCTTTGTTGACTTGCAACAAATTGATGGAACTTGGTTGAGAAGTTATGATTCATCAATCGTATAACCCAAATAGTGCACTGTCTGACTATCATTAATTTCTGTTTTTTAAAGTGGCAAAATGCTCTTGGTGCTGTTTGCATGAGCCCGGGGGAGGGAATGCCTTCAATCTACCAACTAATTAGTTAAGTTCATTTTGAATAATGTTAACAAAAATTCACAGAATAATTTATTTGTTGCTAATAATTATTTAAATGAATGATAAAAAAATATATTATTCCTGTTTTATAGGCCTATAGGCAAAAGAAGAAAAGAATTCAACAGTGTATCTGAATACATCAGTTGGCTTTGGTTTCAATTTGACCATCATGCGCATATAATCACGTAGAAATACTTTAACTTCTGGACTTTCTTTTAGATATTCAATTACAAGATTTCTGTATAGTTTTTCTTTACTGATATAATATTGGTACAATGCGGAATCCTGTTTCCATTGAAACTCCAATCTTGGTATGATCATTTCTTTTGGTGGTTCTATAGGCCTACTACAATGAAGAATGTAGTTAAAAGTAGGCCAAAAATGTAATATAAGTTTGCCTTTCGCTGTCAAATAAGATTCCGAAACTTCTACTTCTTCATCATCAAAGTACTCAGTTTTTTTTACAAGAAAAAGATTTCTAAATGTTTCTGTAAATATCCGCATTGTGTGACGTTCCTCAAATATATTTAATACAACACGTACAACTTTACCTGCAATACAACATTTAGAGATTTATATGTTCAATGTCAAAAATTTTTCGAACATAATATATATTAATACAATATATGTACAATATATTCTATTAATTAAATATTTATGTCAATATTTGTTCGCACAAATTTGCTTATTTTGTGTAATTTATAAATTTATTATATTTTACTCACCAAATAAAGACATTGAATAAAGTTCGTAATCTCCAAAAAATTTATTTATAACAAGAAATCGTACAAGTGCTGTAATTCCACCATCACCTATAAATGGCTCTGGGCGACCCCTAATATCAATATCTGCCGAATAAGTGGTTCGCGTATCATTTAAGCATATTTCACGTGTTGCTACGATTTTTTTATAATCTACATTGCGCAACATCAATCGTTTAATCTTAAAAAAACATGTATAGTTCAAGTATGAATGGTACATATATTTTAACACTATTTAACCACTTACCACAGTTGCATTATTTAACGGATTATATTCCATACGTCTCTCCACAACAAGTCTGAACTTGTTATCGTACTTCCCTTTAAGCTCATGTCCACAAACAGTATTACTTCCCCTTTCCTTATGCATTTCACTCCAGCTATGTACATAGTAACCGTCTGTTGTCTCTTCAACCTCAAATTTAAGCTTGCCTATTCTCTGCACCTCATTCACCTCCAACTCTATTTTCTCTTTTGCTTTCAATTGACACATTGCCCCATCGAATACACTAAATATGTGCATATAATCGGGGAATAACATACACTGTTTATCATTCGACATGTCTTTGGCTTTTACTTCCCATTTTAAATCTTTAATTTCTTTTTCAGTTGGAAGCACAAGTGAAAGTATTTCAGAGAAAATGCTACTAACACTTATTTCATCACTGGGATTTAATTGTACATATGGGCATGATCTTATTGGACGTGGTGTTTGTGGTGCATTTTCAATCGAGTCACATTCATCCGATTCATCTTCGTCTTTTTTATAACGAGCTACAAAAATTGAATATAATTTTTTTTAAGCTTTTATTTTAATGCTTTTTAATACCTCTTAATATTTTTTGCATATCACGTTTTTTTGTCTTGAAGACTTCGATTTCCGAGCATGTTTTATCAGGAAGTATTTCATTTATAACCTGTTCATTAGTTAAGACGAATACTCTTCTCTTGGGGCATTTTATGTATGGGTCCGACATTTGAGCACTAAGTTTAGGCTCTTGAAAGATCGAATTGAGTTTGCTCATTTTTAATGCTTGATGACTATAAGTACGCCCAAAAGAAAATTTAAATTTATATTATTAGCAACAATATTTTAAATTTTAAACTTTTTGAATAGAAAACATTACATTACACACTTTATTTTTAAAACTCCGCCTGCTTATCATTAACAATTATTTCATTTTTGGATTAAGTGTTAAAAAATATTATATAAATATATGATATACAACAAAATTGTATATGAACTTGAAACTGTACTAGGTTTAGTGACTGTAACATCACAGCAATAGTTAACACCGGCATATATTCAACATTTACCTCATTATTCGAACAGAACGATTACTGACATAAAGTAAAACAAATGATTTCATTCCAAAAAAAAATGTTGGATTATCTACTGTTCAAATAGCATTCACACAACTACTTCAATAACCCGAAAAAATATACCTGACTTTATTGCATAAAAGACAAATCAATGGATTAAAAAAATAATAATTTCATTACCATGTAAAATTCTTCAATGTCTCATTACTTAGTCCTTAAGTTATTGACACAATAATAAAGCTTGCTGATTCATAAACATAACCTACTCACATATCTTATATGCTATTCCCTATAGCATATAACCTCAATAAGTATGTCAAGCTTAAAAACACGTTTCTCAGACAAAATCAAATTAATAATAAAATTAAGCTACTTTTTTTCCATAACTCTACTTTATATCTATAGTATTAATTTCAATAGTGGTAACTCATTGTCAATTTATTTTCTATGCCTTTCCTATTTTTTCAATACTTTAATCTATCTACTCTTTGATAAAATAGTATTCATTATCTTTGAATTTGATTGTTGATCATAGTTTTAAACTGCAAAGCAGTTAGAAAGTAATTAGTCACATTCCTTTGTCTCAAATTCTTACAAACTAATCACTAACTGAAGTAATTAGCAAGACTAAGTTAGCTTATTATTAACTTACTAAGTACATTGATAACTTAGTGTATTACTAACTTACTCTTGCTAGGAGATGCAGTATCACATCATGATAAATTCTAAGCTAAACTTATACTTATTGATTTATAAAGAGGTTTTTCGAACAGTAGTGAACTACAACAACAAAAATTGATTTCATATTATTTTAATTAATTGAATTTTTGGCTAACCATACAACTGTTTCCAGTATTGCCAAATATCCATCATTAGTGGTCTTGGAAATAATTCTTGTATTTAATTATTCGCAAATAGTTTTTTGAGACTGCAAATACCAGGAATCGAACTCGTGTCCTGCCAAATTTGAAACTCAGAATTATTAATTTATTTTATTGATGGCAATGCGTTAGGAGCGTTCTAGAAAAAATATTCTGAAGAAAATCAATGATCCCTTATGCGTTCACGAGAAGCTATACTATACTATACTGAAGTTATACCGCGACAATGACATAGTTAAGCGCATAGAAATTCAGCTAATCCGGTGGCTTGGTCATGCTGTATGAATGGAAGGATGTGCTTCGGCCAATTCAATTGATTCGCTGACTTGGTTATGTTGTACAAATGGAAGAAGTGGAAAATCTTTCGATGAAATATTCAGGTAATTATCGACTTGAAGGCACTCGATACTACCAATTGGCTACATTTACCCACTAATTGTGTTGGCTGGCGGAGACTCCTGAATGCGGTCAAGGGCAACTCACATAAAGGCACAAGTCCCTTTTATGCTATTATACTATATAACTTTTATACTATTTCTCTTTAATAATAGAGCCATAGCATGGAGTTTATACATAAGCTAATATAATTATTAAATATTTCTCGCATTCTTTTTACCAGTCACCTTCTTTATTTCTTTTTTCTTGCTGTCCAAATAAATAAGTTGAGCTTTTGAAATGAAATATAATGACCTTTTCTGTTTGTTATCGTTTTTTAAAAATAAACAATCACCAGTACTGGTTGCTTTACTCTTACCAAGTATAATCTAAGTCTATGGCCTCAATCTAAGTCCATGGTCTATGGCTCAACACAAATTGAATAATCTGTGTTTAGCTGTGTTCAGATCTACACATTTCTTGTATTCAAATCCGTTTTAAATATATTGTAAATTAAAATTTGTAGTTTGTTCTGACTTTTCCAAATGGACATGAATTTTAACTTAAAATAGAAAATTTCTATCTTTAATATTTTATATATGTATATTCATTACAAGACACTTAATGATACCCGTATCTGCCTTATTCATAAGATGCAAACACAAATTACAAACCCAAACACTCCAGAAAGTGGATTTTGCTATTGTTGTAGTGGAAAATGTTGTTGTGATTCTTAA